TCATCTCACTTGTTGAATTCATTTATTACTCATCAACCATTTTAATTAATTATTAAAAACCTTCGAAACAGTCGTTTCCTCCTTTACTCACAAGTCAACTATAAATAAAGAAACAGGGTAGGGATCCAAATGCTAAAAAGAGGGCGCAAATTAGTTTCTCCCCACAAATCACACACAGTTTTTACTGCTTTGGGGTAAATAAATAAAAAAAGTGTAAACATTCTCAATTAATATCTGTTGATATTTTAAATTTCAAAGTATCATAATTCTTTTATAAACTATGAAATATAATATTATTATGTACATACGAAGTCGATATTTTATATTTCGTGTAATATATAGGATCTAAATTCCCATGCAGATATTTACTTTACGGAAAATAAAAAAGTATCTTCAGTTGATATTAAAATTTAAAACAATGTTAAAAATAAAAAGGAAACATTGCATTTCAAATTTAAACGGAAACAAAGAGGTGGCTTTTGAATCTAAATACTTTATATACTATTATTATTATTATTATTATTATTATTATTTGGAAATAACAAATGATTAAAACCACTAGCAACGAGAACCGCTTAATTATATTTCGGTTTCAATGAGTCTTCCATGCGTCTGTCTATATCTGACTCTGTTGTTTCTTTGACAAATGTGAGCAAACGTTTCTCGTTTCTTCCCTTTGTTTTCATTTGGAAATAGCTCTCTATAAATGAAAGCCAATTACTACCTTACTTTCTGTATAAAAATTCAGGGCTAGAGAAAAGCGCCCAGTAGATATTTTGACTGAATTTTGTCTTAATATATAATATAATTTTGTCATAATTCTTGTTCCTCTATGTTGTAAATAACTTTTTCTATCACTTGTGTACTCAGAATCCTTCATACCAAAAACTCGGTTTACGGCAAAACGTTCCATATCTGTTAGTATGTCTATCCGTCTGTGAACAACGCTAGTCGCTAAACCGTAGGCAGGATTCTCACCAAAATAGATATTCCCTAATTTCCGCTGGCTGGGGTCGCGGCTTCTTGAATATGAAATGGATATTTGATTGGGAAATATTTTACATGAAGCTTCAAAGACTTTTCAATTTTTTTTCAAAAAATGGCTCCAAATATTTTCTTCAAATTTTGTTATCTATTAGAGCAAATTACGCTTATAGTGCATTTCTGAAGTTGCAGATTCGATTTTCATTGAACTTTCTGAATTTTTGAAAATTGACAAAGTTCAAAATTTGTTCGGCAACTTCCTACAACTACAATATTGATGTTTCTTTTTCTTACTGAAATCCGTGGTTCGAAATTAGGTCTTTAAACGAGGTCATTTTCAATATTTTCAAAATATGAGTAGTTTTCATGTAATTTTGCAAGAAGTAAAGGCAATTTTAAAAATATATTTTATTTATAATACATATTTTATCAAAAAGTCTTCTTTTTTCTTTATTTTTTCGTATAGTGTAGATTACGCTTAAAGGGCTAATGTCTAATTTTCGTTGAGCTCTAAATTTTCGAATATCGCTGTTCAATTTCTAATGTTGTAT